ATATCACTGAAATAAAAATGTCATTCAAACATACATTTAAAAATCGTAAAGTGCATGAAAAAATGACATAAGTGACATAAGTAAACACATTTTTATTTACATTAGTGGTTATGAACAGCAGTTGATATCCCATTACCACTGAAAGTATATTCTTCTCTCTGTGGGCATGTTCTGTGTCAAACTGCATATCTGTCCAAGAAACGTCACTTAATGTGTTGGGGCCCTTTTAACCCTCCCCTTTCCCCCTCATTATTATAAAAACATGCAAGATTACTTAATATAGCAGGACCTTAAGGTCCTTCTCCTGTCATTTATAATGTTTTAGTAATGCATCTTTTTAGACACAAAATGTTAAACAATAAAAAAAAAAAAATTTTTTTTAGACTTCCTCATTCTTTCTGTGTGCCCACTAACTCTTACTAAAAATGTCTGTCTCTAAAAGTGACTCAAAAACACATAGTTTAATTTTTTTAAAAAGGCTCAGCATTTTCGTGAAACATCTGGTCACTGTAGGTCTTACCAAATTTAACTTTTCTTGATATGTTTTTATATCTTTTAAAATATATGCATCTTAGTAGGATCAGTTCCTTGTTGGTTTAATTCTGCTAATGGGACTTGTTGACAATAAAACAATCCTTTCAGTACAATGAGACTGAATACCACAGAGAAAGGACTAAAGATGAAAATACAACAGTGTAGACTGTAATGTGCAGTAGTCTGACTACATACTGAGGGGAACCTAAACTTGTGAAAGTTGTCGAGATGGCAGAGGGTGCAGACATGTTAGATTAAGGCTATATTTTGTCTGTGTAATGAAAAAAAGATGAAGTGTGGTAAGACAGGGAGTGGGAGATTTATCCAATCCATATTTACTATAACAATGGCCTTGTCCTCACTGGGAACAGCAAGAGAGTGAGAGAAAAGACAGTCTGGAGTCAGACACAACAGCGACAGCAATAGACCAACTAGTGTGAATGTGTGTGAGTCTAGTCAGTCTGATATATCTTCAAATGAGATCAGTGCTTATTGACTGAACTCTGTTATCTCTAATCTGTGGGATAAATTGCCTCAGTTGCAGCTTCTCTTCGCATTTCCCTTTCTTCCTGTGCTGCTGATTCCTCTCTTTACGATTCCATCAGACACAGCAGGCACAGATGCTATTTACTGGTGGGAGAGTTTATGTGCGTGTGTATAACATGTATGTGTGTCGGTGGGAGAGGAGGTGAAGTTAATGTGTAGCTAAATATTTTGGTGTAGTAGGGACTGCTGCCTGTGTTAAATTTAACATGTGTCTCCCAAGGTGTGCAGCATGTGAGATCATTAGATTGCTGATATATCTTCCTGATATTTTTAAGGTAAAGATTCTCTCTTAAGTTTTGTGACAGTCTCCAGTGACACTCCTAAAACCCCAAATTTCTTCCCAGTAAATATATATTTTGAAATAAACCTTTTCTTTTATCTCAGTGTGTTTCCACAGACCTCTCTGGTGTGTTTGTTTTTAACCACAAACAGCAAATCAACCTGACATGTACAGTATGTTTGCTCTAACAAGTGGATTCCTGAAGTGGATGCATGAATAGACAGATACTGTATTTAGTCACACTCACATGAGTCTTGTATCTGAATGTCTCTTGCACTTATTTGATGTCAGCAGTGAGCTTGATTTCTATCATTGTAGTTAGATATAATCACATTACTTTGTGTACAAGTGGTCATTTCTCTTATAGGTTTGTATTTGATAAGTTATTTGATGATGTAAAACGGGATGTCTTTCAGATAATTTGACACAGTATTTGATTGTTGATCTGATACCACAGCTCCACATCTAGCCTCTACTGTACAGAATCTGGTTGGAAAATGTGTGAGAAGAGAAAGGTGGATACCCCTGTATTTGTGATGTTTTGGCCTCACTTTTGTATAGTGAGAGGAAATGGTGACATTGTCCATTTTATACACCAATCAGCCATAACATTATGACCACTGGCAGGTGAAGTGAATAACATTGACTATCTGTTACAGTGGCACCTGTCAGTGTGTGGGGTATATCAGGCAGCAAGTGAGCATTCAGTCCTCGAAGTTGATGTGTCAGAAGCTGGTAAAACAGGAAAGCATGAGGATCTGAGTGATTCTGACAAGGGTCAAACTATGATGTTGATGACTGGGTCAGAGCATCTCCCACACTGCAGGTCTTGTTGGGTGTTGCTGTCTGCAGTGGTTAGTACCTACCAACAGTGTCTAAGAAAGACAACCAGTGAACTGGCCACAGGGTCATGGATGCCCATGGCTCACTGATGATGAGGTTGACCTACTGTGTACACATTTAAATTTCATTCATTCTTTTCAAAAAATTCCACTTAGTTTAAATCTTTATTAAAATGGTTGAAAATGAGAAATACTGTACATTGGTCTCTATGAAGACAAACATTCAGCACCTATAGTGGTGATATCACACCTGGAGTGGGAAGGCTGTTGAGTTTGTCTAAAAAATTATCTCTGACTTGTCCTCTACACCACAGTTTTCACTCATTTTACATATTTTTTTTTATCAGCAAATTACAGCCACATTAGCACTTTTTCTGACAGTAACTATGGAAGCAAACAGAGTCACACAAGATGCACTGTGAGCCTCAGAGCAACACCAGTGCCAACCAACTGCAGCATTGACCCCTGTGTACACACTATTAGGCAGGTGGTCATAATGTTATGGCTGATTGGCGTATACAGTCTGCATTTAGCTAATCAGAAGAAACACCATACTGTGTTCAATGCAAGAAAATGCAAGAAGAGTGTAGGACTCCCACATTCATCTGCAATTTGTGACTGTCATTTGTGAAAAGAGCTGCTGGCACCAACTGTGATCACCTATAAGCTGTACCTAGGAATATATGGGCCCATGTTTTGAGCAAATTTTAGTACTGTCAGACCGAAAGGTGGCAAGCTGCTGGTCTGATCACTGGGATCTCAGATGTCAGCTTCAGATTGGCTGTAATCTCCTTTATACATTAACACACAAGCCTATTGAAGGTAGGTTACTTCTTTCAGGAAAGTAAATATCTGTTAGAATTAAACTGGTCCAGAGCTGGGCTTTCTTGGTGTGAATTAAGCCCTTATTAATAATTATTATTTTCACATTGTCTGGAACACTTCCAAAACCTCTTAGGCTTTTCTGGCCTGTGGTCTCATTTCTTAACTCTTCCAACTACTCTCATTACGGACTTCTCAGTGCCACTGAACTTGTAACAGTGTGTTTTTGTATTCTGTTTCCAAGAGTTCATCTTCCAGTTGAAAATGAAAAGAAAACAGATTGAAAAGTTATTTCAAGCTGCAACTGATACAAAAGAGGTTCAATTGAAATGACTGATCTGAACATCTGTCCATGCACTGACTTCACTGCTTTTTTTTGTGTTTCTTTCTTTGTTTTTATTGGTCTTGAATTAAGGCACGGGGTGACAACTCATCTAACAAAAAACTAATCAAACTGAAGTGAGCGAGTGATCTAGAGTTTGCATTGAGTATCCTGTATTTCCTTCTTTTACGTGACATCCAATAAAATGGTCTGAGGCTGTTTTTATGGGTGAAGGGAAACATTACGAATTGCTGTCTGCCTCTGTTGTGTTTCCTCAGAGCAAAGACAGATGCTTGGGGACAGGAGAGAATCGATTCAGAGCTACATGCAGGATTCCTCCATTTTAGCCTATTTATGCAAAACCATCTTTGTGAAACTCTTGTAGTAGTTCATTTACAATGCCAACAATAATAATAAAAAAGTGTAAACATCTTACTTATATAAAATAAACTTAGCTTTGAATTTAAAACCTGGATAAGTTACATAAAATGCTGGAGTATGGTTGCTGGTAGACCAGTCAGATTTTTGAAGCAGGAGTAGACCATACCAGAGCAAAATTGACAGTGAATATTAGATTATTGGATATTCATTTGGTGGATAGAAATATTACTCCAAATTAATACTTATGTGTTGCTATGGCTAATACATTAATCATAACAGTGTCAACCTGTGGTAGGTGGTGTTTATATCCTCCAGGATGCTTTCATATGTTCCCTGTCTCCTAGTAAGCAGATAATCATTAATGCAACTTTAACGAGGACAAGGTATTAGGTTGTAAGTTTGATAACAAAAGATAAGATCACATTCTGCAATCACTAAGAAACCAAAAATATTTTATAAAATACATAGCATATGTGGTATCATTGTGAGTATGTGCAGGACGTGAGGACATGAAACAATGAAAACCATTGTGTGGAAATAATGTGGTTTTCTCCTTTAAAGCCATTCAGCAGTAATGGGATACCTCTTGCCTCTGGCACTATGCCAACAATCAATGGTTCTAACACACTGCTGCCCATTTTGCAATGACTCCCATAGCTCTTTGCTCCACACCTTGCTATACATCACTTCCTCCTGCATTCGAATCCAGTAATACATCATGATCTTCCTCTCACCTTCTGGGTTTTATAATGCACCACTTCCTGGTAGACACTTTTTTTACAGTTTCACCTCCTTTGGGCTGAACAGCTCTGAGTCCCATTAAGTCAGTCTGAAATGCAACTCCAGTTATTGACTCACTTAGAAAGAAACCAGTTCTCTCAGGGGGTGGAATGGCTGTATCATTTACTTAATAAATCCAATCTGAAATTTGTTGCTTAAACTGGAATTGCTGAACATTAGTGGTCTTTAATGTATATGGGGGAAATGACTAATCCAAACAATAAAAGAAGGGAAATTAGATGGAATTAAAACTAATGCAAGATACCACCTCACAGGAGCTGAGCTGCAGACCAATAACTTTGAGAGGAAAAGAGTGAGAAGCAGGGAGACATCTCTATTTCAGCTCTTTCCTCGCTGTGTTCACATTGACCAGTGTTGTCTTTTCCCACTACTATAGATATTTCAATGAAAATACATTCATGTTAACACAAAGTAACAAAATGTTCTTTTCCAAAATAAGTACACTACATCAATAAATGTAGACTGTGTAAAAGGGGGAAGCATCTTGAGGATGTTGTATTTCGGGTCAGATTTGCCACCTAGAAACATTTTGGTTTTAGTTTTCCATGAAGAGTGTGCAGACGGTTATTTAGAGATTTTATTTTTTTTATCTGTTTTGCGGGGAAAGGAAGGGGGCGTGCCTCCCTCTTTTCTAGTAGGGAGTGAAGCGACTGCACCCTCCTCTGTAAAGGCTAGCCTGCAACATCAAAGATGAAAAAGCTCCAATCAGTATGCAATGTAGAACCTTTGTTTGTAATAATAATATTAAAAGTAACTTCTCTCTTTCCTCCAAACACACTTTTCTCCCTTTTCCCACTGATTTTGTGCACAAGGAAATTTGTCAAGTCAAAGAATGTGACTGTATTTATGCTACAGTTATATGCAAATGAGCATTTATGGTTTTGATTTTAATGCTTTAAATGAATTAATGAATTAATCCCTTTGACCCAATCTATCATGGATCACATTTAAATTTTTAAATCTTTGACCTCAAATAAAAATATCAGAAACATACGTACTATATATTAATGCTTTAATATCTCTGAAATAGGACAATTATTCTCAAAACTGCAAAACTGTCAGCAAGAGAGAAATTATAAGGTAATGGGCAATTTCTGAAATGGCTGCAGCAAATTCAGATATATTTTCTTGTTGTTTTTCTTTCTTGATTACCCACAATACAACTCCACTACTGACTGTTGTGTTGGTGGTTCAGGTGTGGTACTGTATGCTGGTAACAGATAACGCAGTCTCTAGCACCTAACCTTAAGAAGAGAAGTAGAGCTGGTGGATAAGCTCACTTCCTTCTAGCACCACAGATTTTTCGCTTGTTGTTCTCAGCCCCAACTGATGCTGACTCAAATGACATCACTTGAGGGCATTTACTATAATTCACACAGCTTTGTGTAGTACTGCTCATCACCTATAAACAGATTGATGACTGGTAGAGCGTGGTTAGGGCCCATAAACTATGGTTAAGATAGTGGTGTGAGTAGGTAACTCAAAGACTTGGTTCAAATCAGTGAAAGGTCATTTGTTACAGTTAATAAAAGGGGGAACATTATAATTGCAGGTATGTGATAGAACATGAATGCCAACCTTTTGTATGAAATTCTGACATGCTACACTCTATCCACTACCCCAACCTCCGCATCCTCTCTTTCTACCTTGCTACATAAAGGACACACTTCCTGCATCGACAGTGAATGTTGACATGCAGCTCAAAGTCATCTGGCAACACACCATCAAAAATCAAATATGAGCATAATGCACATTTCTAATTACTTTGTAACAATCACAAGTTGGAGGATAAAACGATTATTGATCTGATAACTTTTCAGGGCTGTAAAATCCTCACTGTTTTACAGTCTGCTGGGGCTTGGTGGTGTCTGATAAACCTTATGATAAGTTGTTACCCAAACAGCTGGATTGCAGCTAATTGTATACCTTGTATCTTGTACCGTATGCAGCATCACACCTTTACCGACTCAGACAGTCTAGTCCAGTCCTACCCAAAAAGCCTGTATCCAGATGTCTAACTAGTCCAGAATGGCTCAACCTGTTTACTGCCAAAACTCCACACAGGTGTTTTGCCTGAACCCACACGACCTATAAGGCATGCTAAAATAATCCCATCATTTCTGTTTATATAGAAAATATAACTTGGGACACAAAGTCTGCGAAGAACCACGCAAAGCACAATAAGTCAACTTTGCATTTAAAACTCGGTAAAAACAAAAACTTTGTTATACAACCCCTAATTCTATCTTTATCAGTCTTACCATTATTACCCAGACCTAACAAGTTTAGTTCAAAACTAAGTTAGTTTAGGTTCATTTTAAGTTAAGTCTCGTGCTACAGAACAGAATGTGAGGTATAATGTCATTTTAATTAACAGTTTGTTACTTTTTAAATTGTTTTATGATTAGGAATAAAAAACTTGGATAAAATAAGGGAGCTTAGAGAAAAGGGAGGCGTAATTTGAAGAAAAAAGAGAAGAAAGTGTAGAGCAGTAAGGAGGAAAACACAGGCCACTGTTTTAATTAAGTAAATGAAGAGGAAAAAATGGTCGTAATTAATGAAGGCTTTTAGCTAGCAGCTGCACTATGGGGGAAGGGTAGTGTTTGGGGGACACATGGGGGAGGAGGTAGGTCTTTAGATTTCCATCACCACGTGCACATCCACACTCAGCATCAACCTTCATCTGTCTGGAATCCAAAATGCTTCACCAAGCTGCACCCCCTCCTGCAGTCAGTTTGTTATGACAAACTTTAATTCTCCCTCTCCTCCTACTTTTCTGTCTTTCGTAGTCTATCTTTCTATGTTTCTACTTTAACATCCCATGGCACATTAAAGTATGTATTAGATGGTCATTAATCTTTTGGAGGAGGTCCCTACCCACACCCACGTAAGAAAACAAATTGCACTTTACGTTTCTCTCACATCTTCTGGGGTGCTCTGCTCATTTTTTAGGATTTTTTTTTCATCTTTGATGTTAGCTGCAAAGCTAGCTAAAAACAAACATTAACCATTCGACTAGCTCCCCTTACAAAATTTGAAGAGACTCTTTCCTGTGGGGAGAAATTCTCAGTCTCGATTGGAAGCAAGTAGCTTCAGGCCAATGTAATTGAATGGGGAGTTTGAGAATAAGGCAATGTCCCTTTTTCATTTACTGAAGTGGCAAAGATTCATATTAAACATTAAAATGGATCTTTCAGAAGGAAACATGATTCATAGGAACAACAAACTGAAAAGTAAAAATAGGATTTTTATTTTATTTTTTGGTGAAAGGTCTTCTTAAATTATTAAGAAAGCATGTCAGCAAATGATTTGATGTGAGTTATCGTTTACTATAATTTTGTTTAGTTGTTCATATGAATAGTTCAGCAGACCTATTCTGGTGCAAAATGGGTCTCAAGTAAAGCTAAACATCCATGTCTCAAGGTAATGTGTCAAGACAACAGTGTGACAATGCTGTATCAGTTCACCCTGGTTCATCACATCATCTCATGCAGTCTGGAAAAATAATTAGATAGTCAGCGGGTAGGAAACAGGGAACAGACTCACCATAGTGCCCACACTGTATGTGGCTGTAGGACCAATCGTATGGTGATATGGGTCTGCTGTTGCATAGACTCTGCCATAACTATAGAGGAAAAAACAAACAGAAACAACATTTAATATGACAATACCATAGACTGTATATAAGATTTACTCTTATGTTTTGTGACAGTCTCCAGTGACACTCCTAAAACCTCACATTTCCTCCCAGTATTTTGAAATCAACATTTTGATTTTGAAATCAATTTATTAATCAGTGTGATGCCGCTCTGATGTGATGGGGGCCCTAAATTCATAGCTTTCAGCAAGTTTTTGCTGAAAGTCATGTAAATAATTTTTGAACTATGACACACACTGTACACATTGTTACACTGGTATGTGTAAACAGCTATGAATCATGAGACAGTAACCCAGTAAAGCAATATGAGATGATATGGGTTTTCTGGCCACTAGTGCTGCTGCAGACCAATGCTTTCATGAGGCAGCTCTGATTTTATATGCATTTCAGTTATTTCACGCCAACCCAGATTAGCATAACTTTATATGAGAATGGGGCCCAGGGCCCTTTTTTAATTAATGTCATTAAAAAAAAAATTCATAATCTTGACACATTTAAATAGAGACTGGCCTATCTCCCAAAAGCGAAGTTGCCACAAGTTTACTGCCCCCTGGTAGGCTTGTTTCAGTATAGGTCATATACTCCCTGCCCCCACCATGTACAAATCAAATAATATTTTGCCAGATGTGATTTTTGTCATTTTATGTAGATATCATTGCATAGATTTTTCTGGTAAATTTGTTTTTAATAATTTATTTGATGGTATAATGAGGGGTGTATTTCAGATGATACTGTTTGTCTGTGATTGACAGACTCTGGTTGCAAAATGCATCACAAAGCACAATATTTTGGCTTCACTTTTTCATACTGCGGATTAGTGGCGACACCGTCAAAAAAGGTAGACTTGCAGTAGCTTCAGCAACACGCTCAACAGACATACTCTATGTAGCTAAACGTTCATACTATAAAGTATCCCTTCCTCACATTAGGACATGAGTTAGAAATTGAATGTGTCTTGACAACAATAATTAAGCAGTGGTTTGCACTCACTGTTCAGTCTTCATTGTCTACAACTTGCCAGGGGACCCATGGGCAAGTTAGAGTTTTGGGTTCCAACTGATTGCTCTGCCACCTCATTTGAAATGTTGGTGTATCCTGTTACCTTTAAGTGCTCCTCGGGCAGACACAGTAGCAAACAGCAGACAACCCATGGCAGCATTACTGTTTTGCCCAGAGACATGGAGAATATTTATTATACCTTTACTGGAATGGTGTCTCTCAGTTACATTGTAGTAATTTAATAAAACAGATCAGATTTTTGTAAAGGAATAGATACCATGGGAGCTTTAACATCTACTGAAATAATAAAAGTTATAAAACTAAATCCAGTGATGTATCCATAATGAATTATATGTGATAATACAATTGTACAAAATAAGTTTAAATGCTATCAGTATTTATTGGAACAAGCTCTTGCTTTAAATAAATTTCATTTTCTCCACTTCCAATACTATGAGCATATATTATGCATTTACCACCTGCTTGGAACTCCTAAAAGGTTTGGACAGCTTGCAGCTCTGGAGGAAGATTTTGTATATGAGGCAATAGATTTACACTCAGAGTGACATTTGGATTTATTCCCTAAACATAAAACTATATGGATTCTTTGAACTTGTACAAATCAAATGTGAATTTATTCAGATGGGAAATACTATTAATTGTTTCCATTCCAGCCACCAGACCTTGCTCATGTTGGCTTTGATTGAGTAGACTGATAATGGATAGGGAGTGCCAACAAATGTAATGCTTTTGCATGAGACATGTAAGGCTCTGTGACATCAATTTTAACTGGGGTCTGGAGGAGAGATCTATAATCATTTCCCCCTCTCACTCATGATAAGGACAGGCCTATGGAATGAAAAGGCAATCAGTCTCCTCTTCTCTTCAGTTTTTCTTTTTTAACAAATCTGCAAAAATGTCAAAAATTCTGTGTTTTTCTGTCAATATGGGGTGCTGTGTGTAGATTAATGAGGAAAAAAATGAACTTAAATGATTTTAGCATATGGCTGCAATATAACAAAGAGTAAAAAATTTAAGGGGGTCTGAATACTTTTTGTACCCACTGTATATATATAAAAAATCTCCACTCGCCCCCCACTTTGGAGCGGTCTTATTCCTTCCTTCAAGCTCGGGTCCTCTACCAGAGGTCTAGGAGCTTGAGGGTCCTGCGCAGTATCTTAGCTGTTCCTAGGACTGCACTCTTCTGGACAGAGATCTCAGATGTTGTTCCTGGGATCTGTTAGAGCCACTCTCCCAGTTTGGGGGTCACAGCCCCCAATGTTTCTATTACCACGGGTCCACTTGTGCCTTCACCCTCCACATCTTTTCCAGCTCTTCTTTCAGCCCTTGGTATTTCTCAAGATTCTCGTGTTCCTTCTTCCTGATGTTGCTATCGCTTGGGATTGCTACATGTATCACTACGGCCT